TCTAAGAATGGCAAGGGTGTTTTGAGGGTACTGACCCCAAACACCAACCGGTCATTAAAATGAGCTTTGCCAGGTGCTTTACAGAGCACACTGGGCAGGTGAGAGATCAGTTTCAGTGATACCTAAGAGCACTTTTTAGCTGAGAAAGCAGATGTGAGAAACTAACTTTGAGTGGTGCAAAGAAATGCTCTCATCCTTACTGTGCCTGGAAATGGTTTCCAGGATGAGCTGCGACATGACCTTCCCAGGGATATAGATTTAATCTTAAATAAAATGAACTGAAATATAAAAGCTGATTCTATATTAGCAAATAGCAAGTATATGCTTTGTTGCTGCTTCTAGGCTGCGAATGGACAACAGAAGGTAAGAGTCCCTGGTCAGCAAGGATGTATTAAGGGTTTTTTGCTGACACATTATGGAAGACCTTAAGCAACACAATTTTCCAGCACCACTTGTGCTAAAAGTGCTGCAGCTACCATGTTCAGTAAAATAAGCAAACTGAAATTCACTGGCTTAGGTTTGGTTGGTTTTTTTCTCCTTTTAGTCTACAAAGCTTATTACACCTTACTCTTTAAAGCTGTGAGATTATTTGTACCAGTTGCCAAGATTTAATGAAATGATTGCCTGTAGGGGATGGATATTACCACTGGTTCTTTCGATGGTTTTAACAAAATGTAGGAAAATCTAGAACCATGTGACCTTTTTTTCTTCCCACTAATGCTTTGCTTTAACATATTGAACAAGAGAAAAGAACATTTTGGCATTTCATGTAAATATTTAATAAAATTTTCCAGTAAACAATAAAATGATAGTGATTGATAAGTGATAAATGGCCATGTATGCTGTGCATCTTCTTCAAAGCACTTCAAGTTCAGACTAAAACCAAATCTAATTCTTGCATTAAACACTTCAATTGCCTTTAGAAATTGATTCATGAGACACAAACGTTGTGGAGGTATATCCCTTATTTTTTTGGCCTCCTCATCCATTATTAGCCTTGGATCACCATGCCTAAACTTTCACTGATGCAGCATGTAGGGATTTTTCAACCCAATAATTTCCATTAAGGCTTTCAATTAAAATCCATAAGGAATTTTCTTGCCTATCAAATGCTTATAAAGTAAATGAAGATGAAAGTAGCTGGACACAGCAATAATAAATACCAGACTTTACAGAGTTCAATTAAACTTCACTTAGGCTCTAGCTCATAGCAATTAGATAAATACAGAAAGGATGACACTGAATCAACTGTAACTCCGAGAGCTACACTCTTAAAAAAGAGCAGCCATGACATTAGGCCCAGTATATTAAAGCAGTGCTGCTAGGCCTTTTCTTCAGTCCAGGAAGAAGAGGAAAAAACCCAAATCCATTCCACACTATCCTGTGCAGTGATATCACAGTTGCTTTATAACCAAATGACTCCTCAAAAGTTAGAGCAAGTTTTACTGGATCTGTTGTCATGGGTGTATCCCCATTATTTTCTGTCTGCATACAGAAGTGTTTGATTTCACAGCTTGTTTTCCTGTATCTTACAGAAAATGTAATTATAAGGGCAGGAACAGTGTATTGAAGAACAGTACTCAAAAATTCTGCTAGCAGGAACTGAACCAATCAGTAATACATGGGACACAGCATCCTAGCTCAGACTGGCTGTGAAAAACTCTCTGGAATTAACACCAAGTCACTGATTAAGAAAATGGAAAGTCCCAACAGGAACAGGTGGTAAGTAGAACTAAGAGAAAAAGAAATTAACATGGTTTTTGATAGGTGATGGAAACTTAGTAACAGAACTACTTGTGCCTACATCTAGGATGCAGTCTGTTGTTCCACGTACTACATGTTGAGCTTCTTGACATTATTTCAGCAGGTTTACATGCCTTTTTTTTTTTTTTTGTGAAATGACTGCTAACAGCATGATTGTGCAGCACCTGCTCTTCCTCATGTTGTTGACAGGAGGGATGTTAAAGTTACTTTTGGTTTGCTTTAGGCCAGAAATGTTTGTAACAAAAAATACTCCTCAGCACTGTATCTGCAGAACATATTCCTGTATAAACTGCAATAATACAACTTTTCCTTACTCCTAGTACCGATAAACCTTGTAAGAATATTCAATGACACATTGTACAACTACAATGATCCGTAGCTCAGTAACAGCAAAACAGCAATCATTTAAAAACTAGTTTTTATTTGAAGCTGTCTGGAAATATTCCTGTGATTAATGAAGGAGAAGGGAACATGCTTGCTTCATGCTATACAGATAACGATCATTTGGTACTATGAACTCTCTCTGGATTTAATGGAAGAGTAGTTCTTCAGGTTTGAGAATTTGTCCAGATTCAGCAATTCTGTGTTCATTTTAGCTGCAACAGAATCCATTAGTAACTGCACCATCCACTAAAACCAGGATTATCTTTTTGTAACTATAGGTTAGGCGAGACAGTCAATTGTGAAGAGTTTGGGTTTTTTTTCATAAAGTCATCCACCGGAAACTGTGATTTTTGCAGTTTCTGCTCATTCATGCATCAGGTGAAGGACTGTCACACCAACACACTGCCAACTGGAAGTGTTCATGGGCAAATTACAGGAAACAAACAGAAGTCCCCATGGTTCTGGTTTGGAAGAAGCAAAGACTGGAAAGCGAACTGCAGCTGTCCCAGTGCTACGGAGCAAAACTCCTGTGATTAAACGGCCTCAATCATTATCACAGCCACTAATTTCAGGTGACACTTGTGAGTCAGGTTCATAACCTGTTTTGGAACAGGGCCTAGTGTCAGCTAACCATCACAGCCCTTACCTGCGTGCACCTGCCCTGGCCCCACAGAGGTCCTGCTTGGCCACAGGCTCCCCTGGGCCAGGCCTGGCTTTCTTCAAAAGCTCACATTTCAGATGGTCACAATTGATAATAATTTCCCAGATCAAAGAAAGGCCATTTTCATCAACAAAAGGTGAATAAAGGCCCCATCAGTAGGAGAACAATTATTTTTATTAAGTGTTAAATTAATCAAGCTGTTGACCCAATGGGATAACACAGGCTTAAATTTAAGCAAATGCTGAAGTGCTTTACTAGAGAGAGCAGTGTGTGATACCTTGCTAGATCCAGCTCTGAATGAAAAGTAATATATTGTTCTAACATTTGAGACAATTCACTTCCCACTCTGAAAACTGCACGTTTACAAGACAGCAGTTCTTTCTCAGTCATTCGGACATGGTGGTGGTTATTTCCAGACCTAGGAAAAGGCAGGAGATGCACACAGCTGAACTGCACATCAGAAAACAAAATCTAGTTAAACATAATCATAAGTGATGATCTTCATTTGAAAAAAGTGAAACAAGGAGGTAAGATTTACTCTTGGAATTATTCTGATTTAAATTAAGTATTAATAAATTTCATTAATTAAGTGCTCAACAGAAATCTATGTGATGTTGATAAATCATTTGTTACATTTGCCATGTGTACAAATTTACTGTGATTTATGGCTCATTAATAAGATTTTTCTGTGATTTCCCCCTTCTTCCCATTCACCCTAACCCTATTTCTCCTACTGCAGCAGCTATAGTTTTCTTGTGCCTGTTATGATGCTTTGCTATCATTGAAGATATTACACAGTTGTTTGCATGAAAGGTAAGACACAAAAATATAGAGGGACCTGAGGGTAATATGTTAGTTCTACTGTTGTCATATGCTAAAAAACTAATAGTAGTATGAAAAATAGAGCTTCTTGTTTATTAACATCCTGAATTTAACTACCATGTTCATAATGTGCTTTGAAAACATTTGGGGCAGTTTTTCTTAAAAACAAAAACCAAACCACCCCATCCTAACAGATTTAAGTAAGAAGCCAGTCTTAAAAAAAAACAAAAGGAAAAAAAAAACCACAGAGGGTGATAGTTATTTGAAGGCATGGTGAAAATGAGGCAATGTTACAGAATTTGTAGTGGATGGAAAGGAACGAGGAAGATGATGCAGCTGATTTATGGCCATCCCACCAGTCGCTAGCTGAAGACCTTGCTGCTGGCCAAGGCCATTCAGCCTGTGTGATGGTTCCTCTGATCCAAATGCCATTGTGATGTCCCCAATAGTGTTCTGGTTGTCACCTGGTGGGAGCTGCCAGAAACTCATCACATGAGTGAGATCCATGAAAGGCAGGCTTGTAGTTTCAGCTGCTGCCTCTGTCTCTTTGTGTACTGGGTACTTGTCAGTATCCCCTACGGGCCCTGAGGAAGGTTCTTCCAGACTGATTTTGTGGAAAGACTGAGGTTCTGGTAACTGCAGGTCCTCGAGAAGATGCACATTGTAACCTTTGACATCCACTTTTATTGGTAGATTCTTGAGAGATCCTGCTGCAAATGAGGTAGAACTAAGGTCATATTTATTAGGCTGATGGAGGTTCAGGTTAGTAGGAATGGCTGTTGAACATGGTGTGGGATGAACAGCTGGAAGGCTGTCTGCACAGCCCATCCTTTGCAAGTGAGGAGAAGGTTCAAGAGGAAGAGCAGTTTGTAAGCTTGGCTGGGAATGAAGATGTGTACAGTTGTATTCCTCTGATTCTGAATTATTTGCAATGCCATTCTGTACAGAGACCCTTTCAGGAAAAGGGGACAGCATGCTGGCATCTTCCTTCAGTCTGTATGGAAAAAGCTGGTCAAGGAGACCCACTGAGTCACTGTTCTGCAACCTGCTCTTCAGCAGTTCTTGTGGATGAGTCTTCCTAGTATGGCGTGTCAAGTGGTCCTTCCGCCCAAACCTTTGGGCACAAAACTGGCACAGAAAGTCTTTGCAGCCTGTGTGAACTACCATGTGCCGCCGCACGTCTTTACGGGTATAGAAGTGACGCTCACAGTGGTCACACTTATGTTTCTTTTCCTTCATATTGCCGCCAGTTGGCTTCCCCGCGTGACTTTTGAGGTGTTCCAACAGAACCTCAGTACCGCCAAACTCCTGAGCACATACCCTACAGGTAAGGTCCCCACTGGTGGCCGCGTGAAGAGCCAAATGTCTCTTATAGCCTAGCTTGGTGTTGTACTTCTTGCCACACTCTTCACACTTGAAGGCCATCTTGTTAGGGTCATGAGTCTGAAGGTGATTCTTCAGATGGTCTTTCCTGTGAAAGGTCTTTTCACAGTAGCCACACTGGTGAGATTTCTGTGGAGAATGAGTGGCTGAGTGCCTACGACAAAAAAACAAAACACACATACAAAAAGTTATTTGTGTTGACATTTACTCTAGCACATCTGCAGCTTCAAGACCTGAAAACACTGGCACTCTTGAAGAAAAGCCTTTTTGCCAAGTTCTCAGGTTATTAGTAAAAGCCTAAATGTTTTTTGGTGCAGGGAAGGTGTTTATCATAAAGCACAGAGTAGGTTAAAACTGCTCAACATAATCTTTTTGAGTAGCCACTGCAATTGAGGGAGACTAGTTTTCTCCAACTCTATCAAAACAGGAATAATAAAAACTGGATCTTGGGGATTAACTGTCACTAGAACACCCTAAAGAAAAAACATGTCCTTTGTTTTTTCCCCACACCCCCAGCGGAAAAGGAATGCCTTCAGAGCTGTACCTGAGCAGTTTATATTTGGAAATGAAGGCTTTTGTGCATCCGTGCTGTGAACACTTGTAGGGACGCTCCCCTTTGTGTGCGTAAGTGTGGACTGTGAGCTTTTCAATGGAATCAAATATCTTCCCACAGAGTCGGCAAGGGAAACCGTCCTGCTGCTTCACTTCTTTTCCCTTCAACAGTGAAGACCGACCATTTCTCCATTTAGGTATAAACCTCACAAGAGCATCACAAGTGCTTCCTGAGCTGGAACAGCTAAACTTTGCAGCAGAGGAACAGGAAATGGTCCCAAAGCATTGAGTAATGCTTTTGCCTAATGACGCTCCTCTCAGTTTCCCTTTGAGTTTGCTTTTTGCTTTTACAGGTCCCAATTTATTTGGTGGTCTGAACCTGGTAGGAAGTACTCGATCTTTATGGATGCACTGGTGAGACTCCAGAAGAGCAAAAGTTGCAAAAGTGCTTCCACAGCTGGAGCATATCCAAGGGTCTACGGGCTCTTTCTGCAAAGAGAACAGAAACAAGTCTTTCTTATTATCCATTCTAAGGAAAGGTCATATTCTTCTCATGATCTTCTGCTGGGTTTTCCCAAGAGCTGCAGTTGTCTTTGGTGATATTTACTTCCATGTATTACCATGCAGTTGTTCAACTGGAAATAGATTCTCACTAGAAGTACAAACTTGAAGGGAAAAAAAAAACCCTGGCTGAATACTGATTTACATGTTTTTGTTTAGAGTTTACTGTATCAGTCCTAAGTCCTTCACCTTTGTCTATCTATGCTTACTGAATTTCAAAGTCTCTACCTTTGTTCCATTTATGATATTACTCATAAAAGCAGTTGCAAATTGTACTTTATCCTTAGACTGGCATAATTTATCTGCTATAGCATCCACACAAAATGGGGTAGGTTTCTGCACACAAGTGTAATTTAGCTACACAGGATTTCCCTATGTTTTGGGCCAACTCCATGCTTTACTAGAGAGCAATGGTCAATGTCTCCAGGAGAGACTTCCTCACTTAGCTTGGCATTTGGCACTAGACTTTCATTAACTGGATAAGAAACACCTTAGGTTTGGAGATCTCAAGTCTACCTTGACTTAGAGGCATTAAATAATTATATTTTTTGCATACAATTTATTGTTTTGAAGTATTATTTCTGTGGAAATAGGAGCTCTGCTGGATTCAGTTGAATTCACTTTAAATACTGACATTCCAAACATTCCAATGAAAAACAATTACAAAATAATTCCAATCACCGATGAAATGTACTTCCAATTAATACATGACCATGTACTTCCTCAGCTGTGTCTGCCTTTTACGTACACTTCTCATCAACTGTCTTTACTTTCCCTTTCTCTTGGGCTAGCTTGCTCTGGAGAGCATGGTAAGCCTATGTTCACTCCATTTTTATTTCCAGATGGAGTTCTCTCTGTTACTCATGTCTGATGCTGTGGCTCTCCAACCTCTTCCTTCTAGGTTATACCCTGAAGGTCTCATATACCTTCTTGAATTCCTGGTTCTATTACATTCCCTGTTTCCTATGTCCTTCCACCTTAGGCATCAATTTTCACAGCCATGTGTTCAACACTTAAACTTTTCCTATTAGTTGAAGGATTTCTGCTGTCATACAGAGCAGAAAGTACTGGGATCAGAACAGCCCAGAAAAGGCTGAAATAATGAGTGGATTATCTGACCAACTGGTCAGAGCATAACAAGGGGAAATGGTGAAGGAAGTCTGAGGCTGGACAGCTTGGTTATCCACAAAATAGTACCAATCTTAAGTCTTTCCAATACATCAAGTGGTGCCACTTACTTCTGATTACATCGAGTAGCTCCACAGGATTACAAACACAGGAGAGGAAAAAAAGCCTTTCTCTGAGCACCTGTTTGGTTAAAATTGCTCTTGGCTTTGTGTTAGCCAACTACTCTATGGTCTACCCTTGCATAACCAGAGTTACATAAACAGAGAAAGCATGTCAATAAACTACAATTTACTATGTTTAGTGACAGCTTGAATGCAGATTAGGGGTACTTACTGCTACTGGAGGCAAAGGACAGACATCTGATTCTTCTTTAATGAAGACTGCAGAAGCTTCCATAAATTTGGCATAATCGGCAGCATACCATACTTTCAATTCTGTGTGGGGTTCAATTGGCTGTGAATGGAAAAATATCGCACATGTTTACTTGTGCCAGTTTTCCTAAACCAAATAATATGAAGATTGGAGAAGCAGGGGTGTGCCATTTGTTGTCCTTACGCAAATTGCATTCTTTGATCTGTTAAATTATTGGTAACTTAGTTTCAAGATTCATGGACTTTTTCAGCATTACTACTGACTAGGTCTTGATACTTTACATTTCTAAAAGCAGAATTGTGTATGCACAGAGATTTTGAGGGGTAGGAGCAGGAGGGATGCCTCAGTCCTCATGACCTTTGCTCAGTGAGATGTATTTGTCTGTGATGTTCAGATATCCAGCAGCCTTTCAGAGAACATCCCATGCCCATTCCCTGATCTCTCAAAGCCCAGTGGACACAACAATTAAACTACGGAGTACAGACAAAGGCAAGATGCATCATGAATGCACAACAGCTTGGATGCCTCCTGAATATGTCACACTCACTGAGCACAGGTGCAGAGCTGATCAATACGTGGACTGCAAGTCATAGTCGTGTGTTTCCATGTGCTGGCTCTAACGTGTCAGGCTCACTATGTCTATGCTTTATCCTAACTCTGTCTCCCTTCCACTGAAGCCTTCCCACACAGGACTAAGGGAGCCCATAATCTGCTCTCTCCCATCCAGTCATGCCTGCCCAAATCCTTCTTTGGACTGGAATATGAATTATTCTGACAAATACTTTCAGTCAATAATACAGGAAATAAAAAAAGAGAGGAGGGATTACACTCACTGGCTAAAGATCTATTAGTTCTTTAAAAGCAAAGTATAAAGATAAACTTTGGGGTGATGATTTATATGACTCTCTGACCCTGTACATAATTTTCTTCATCTCTAATCAAAACCAACATTGCTGCAACAGAGGTAGAGCCAAACTGCACTGTACTTGGAGTTTTACTTTAGTTACGCTAAACTAACTCAGAGGGAGAGCAGCTGAGTCTTACTCCACAAAATGTGGTATCTTAAAATGCACTTGTTTTACAACATCAGTGTTGTAAGTGGGATAAGCATGGCAGGGGAAAGACAACTCAGACTGTGAATGCTGAAAGGTGAAGGGTAATTGTGTGTACACAGTATTGAAATCTGAGTTTTTGAACTCCCAAGCCCAAACCTGCTTGCTAACTACAACAAGTATGGGTTGGCTGTATGTTTTGATAAATTTTTGTAACACCTGGCCTAAACAGAAACAGTATGTGCTGAATTCTCCACTTAATTAAGGACATAAGGCAGAGCCATCAACAAGGAAGCTGACCATTCACTGTGCTCCTTGATAGTCTATTTAGATGGAGAAAACAAAGCTTAGAGGAGCTCCTCAGAGACAAATGCCTGAGGATGTCTCAGGACCTTGGCCAGTGGCACCTGAGACTGGTACCCACAAACAGCTGCACAACAGAACACTATCATGACTTTCCACCCAGTTTTCCTGGATCAGCAGCCATCTCCTCCATGGAAAGCTGAGACCTGGTTAATGTGACTTCGGAGGGAGAGCAAGTGCATTGGTGTGTGAAATAGTCAAATAAGGTAAAATCTCTAATCTCAGTAAAACTGACATTAAGCATCAGTATCCACTACAAGCTGTCTTCTACTCTGTGCCTCCAGTGGCAATAAGTGAAAGCTACTGCAGTGCCCATGTGAAACTCTCCTGGGATCAGACAGAGAGCAACCACGGATACTTTTTACTTCCTCACAATTCTACACTTTTTTAAAGCACTTACTTTTAGGGACTTCAGCCATTAAATAAACTAATGGTTCTGTTAGTAGCTTTAGTAGCTGTAGTTTCATATCACCAAAATCCCACCTTTGTAAAAACAGTGAGGAGAGGAGCCAATCTTACTCTTAACTTAATACACTTTGTTAAAAATATCTTGAGAAAATATCTTTGTAATCAGCCCTATGGCAGCCTCACAGCATGACCAGCAGGGTGTGCCTAAGTGTAGCACAAGACTACCACTGTCACTGACCAAGACAAAATCTGTGGGATGCCACAGTACCATGAATGATACTGGGACTGAGAAGAAATAAAACCCAGGTAATGCTTTACGATATACAGCACAGAAAAAGTTCCAAGACACATGCCTCATCCTAAGATGCTCTTCATGTCAGTATATAGGATGCAACTCTCCATTAATGCCAGTGAGCAGAGCTCAGCTGAAGTCAGCAGAGAGCTGGTGCAATGGTATTTAAATTACACCGGAAATTTTAAGTTACCAGTTCACAGCAACTTCTTAGAAAAGTTCATGCCTCCCAAATATAGTATTAGCAATCTTGTCCACTTCACATGCACAGCATGTATTTATAGTCAAAATCTCAAATGGTATGGTCTGCATGAGAACCTCAAACACAGCCTAAATATGTCTCAGAACAGCATATACTTTTTCACCTTTACTTTCTTAGTAATCACTTTAATATTAATCCCAAAGCAACTATACTTCATACTGTTATAAAAGACTTTAAGGGTGTAAAATGATACCACTATTAACTTATTCTCTCACCACCACCGTGCAGTAAATAATTTTCTCACTGTGCAGGTGGAGAAACAAACATGGAGCAACAACAGTACACACTACCATGCCACAGAAATGTGTGCCAATCTTAGAAATTAAACTGAAATACTGGATTTTAATCCAACAGAAAGTCCTTTTGACTCATACTGTTTTATAAAATTGGACTGTTGCTCACAATGATACACAAGAATTATGTTCAACATACAGACTTTAGTTTTGTAAGGGTGCAAAAGAGTTATTTCTGATTAAAACAAACTTTGCCTGAGAAAGTAGCTAAAACAACAAAAAAAACGAGACTGTACGTTCCAGTGTCATTTATAAATAGAGAGTACTTTGTTCTGTCTCCTCAGATGACGATGCAGTCCAGAATTTCTAACATAAACTAATTATTTCATGGCAATGTTGTAGTATTCTAAATTATGCAGGTACATCTTCAGATTTACTAAGCATGGAAAATAGTACACAAGGACTCCATTTAACACCCTCTTCCTGAGCACACAGTAGTATGTTCAGAAAACAATGTGTCCAAAAACGTAGCAAAGGAAAGGAATGTGTTTGTTATTTCCAGAATGAAGTACTGTTGAATGTAACAATCCTAGATAATCTCACCATGTACCTATCTGGGAATGAAAAACTTTACACCATTCATTCATCATGAATGATTTTTATGTTTACCTCTGCTCAGTTTCTTCACTACCCACAACAGCAAGTACATACCACCTTTCCCTGAAAAAACCCAGACACTGCTTGCTTTACTACAGATTAAGTGATATAAAAGGTGGTACGTAATAAAGGTCCAGCTGGCAGAATATAATCAATCTTTCATCTGTAAAAGGGTTAGTCTTCCAGAACCTTTGCCTATAGGTTTCCATTTGGGTGACAAGTGAAGCAGTGCAGGTTTAACTACCTTAACCGTTGTGAAATAGACCTCTCCACAGTGCTGATAAGCCACAAGGGTCTGTTCCTCTTGGTTCCGGGCTAGCCGGACAAACATCATCCAGTTTCCACAGTCTTCATTGGGAGTGTCCAGAAAGTACTTCCCTCCATCTTTCAAGACCTGAAACAAAGGGGGAGAACAGGAGATTGAACATGATAAAATCAAGTCCCATATAGAAGCACATTAATTTTCTTTAACTTGGAATCGCAGCTAGCAGTTATTTACCCTGTCTTGGTCATATGTCCTTTGAAATCATAGTCGGTTTGAAATAGATCACTCTTAAAAGAATACTGAGTGCA